CTCTTTAATATAAGAATCTTTTCTCTTTTTATTTCTTTTTTAATGTAAAATGAACCTTTTCTCTCTCTCTATAGAGCTAGGCAGCACAGGGGAGCTTGGGTCTGGGTATCCATCTCTCTGTTCTGTCTCTGTCTCGATGAAGGAAGAAAGAGTCAGGCATAGGACCTGATGTTTTTCGTCGCCTATTTATGCAGGGTTTTTATATGTGGTTCTTTTACTGGTTTCTGTTATTCTTCCTTTTTTTTTTTAATTTTCTTTTCCTCTTGTAAATATGTTATTTTACTCGCCTATTAATCTATGGTATTGGGTCTCTCTCTCTCTCTCTCTCTCTCTTCAATTTGTCAATTACTCAATGGTATTGGCCCTGATATGTCCACAGTCCACTTATAAAGATATAGTTGATTGCACTTCAAGAAAAAATATTAATTATTTCTCTGTCTCTCTCTTTTCTTTTTTTTTTTGTTTTTTTGTTTTTTTGTTTTTTTTTTTCCTTCTGCAATATTTTGCCTTCTCTACTCATTAATTTGGGTTTCAATTCCAGAAACATGTAGAACTTGGGCTATTTTTGGCTTCTGATATTCACCAGAACTAGAGAATGGCAATGAGTTTTCAAATGGATGAAGTACTTTATGGGGTTTTCTAATTTGGATTGAGGAAATTCAGATTAATACATATTTAGGAATTATTTTGAAATTATAGCATTATTTGTTGTCCATTCGAAAACTGTGGAATTTTATAAGTGAATTTAAGGGGCGCATTCAGTAAATAAGCGTTTATCATTTTGGAAGAATAACAGGAAATGATTGATTTTAAAAAAAATATTTCTCTAAACCTTGGTTGGTTTTCCGCTGTATGATCTCTCTTCTCTATCTTTAAGTTGTTGAGTAGGCTCTCTCTCTCACATGTCAACTCTCTATCTCCTTCCCAAAAAGTTTGTCATCTATAGTGCTTGATTCTGGCAAAAGTTTGTCCTCTCTAGTACTTGAATCCTGAAAAAAATGTTTTGTTGGTGTTGGTCATCTTGTGAAACAAAAGTGCTGGTTGGTGTTTCTCTTGAGTTCTTGTGGTCTATGTGTAACTTTGGCACTAATTCTCTTCCGAAATAGATCCTGGTTTGTTTAACTTCGGTACTCTATCTACTGAAGTAGGCCGTGTTTTGTTTCTTAACTTCAGAAATTGTGGTACTGACGAACTCCTTGTTATCTCTCGGACTTTGTTCCCTTCTGGTGAAGACTTTATTTCCAAAACCTCAAGTGAAGTAACTTTCTTTGTTATGGTCTTGCTGAGTTTCCCATCTTTCATTTCTATTAAACTTGGTAGAGACAACTGCTTCAAATGGAATACCCAAATTTTAATTTGTATTGAAGGTTTGAATATCGAAAGTCACCTTGATGTCTAGTTGCCATTCAAATGAATTTATCTTTAAGAAACCACAAGAAATTCAAGGCACCAATCTAGAATTATCAAACGATCACACTAAGAGAGAGTTTGACCCAAAATTTCTAGAATGGGGACTGAAGGATAAAACATTATTGAGCTGATTCCTCTCTACTCTCTATGATGACTTGCTTACTGAAGTGATGCACCTAAAAACAGGTCAAGAAATGTGGGTCACACTTTACAATACATATCAAAGGGAAACTTTTGTCAATGTTCTCCAACTTACAACTGAATTGATCAGTTTACAAAAAGTTCCTCAATCAGTGACTGAATATCTGAATAAGTTCAAAACTATATGTGACCACCTTGCAGCAATTAGTACTCCAGTACGTGATCAAGATGTGGTCATATGTACTCTCAAAGGTCTTGGTCTAGAGTTTAAGTCTTTTGGGACTTCTCTTATGACCAAACCTCCATTTCCGTCCTTCTCAGAGCTTCGATCCTCCCTTCTCACATATGAAACTCGATTTGTATCTTCATCGGCCATTGAGAGTAATCCTCAAGCTTTGGTGGAAACATCCCAAGGGCACAAAGGTGGATATGGCCGAGGACGTGGGCGTTATAGAGGTAGAGGTCACAACCAAAATCAACAAAGCACTCTGAGAGTCAACCCATCTTACCATCGACCTCCTCAACCAGGAATGTGTATGCCATCTCGTGTAACCTATCAGTATTGTGTACGACATGAACATATTGCTAAAACACTGATGGGACATAAAAAATGTTTTATCATCCCACAATGCGATAGTGCATGATTTTAGCAACCTATCGGCCACTATCCCAATCAATCAATCTTGGGTTATGGACTCTAGTGCAACTACTTATATGACAGATGACAACTCTTAACTTCGAGGTATGATTCCTTACCACGGTCCCTGCATGGTTTTTACTGGAGATGGTACTGCCGTACCTATAACCTACATTGGATCTGTGACCGTTTCCACTACCCTTGGTTATTTAAATATCCCTAGTGTTTTACTTGTTCCCAAACTAAAGAAATAACTTATATATGCATCTTAATTTGCTAAAGATTTTAAGTGTTGTTTTGAGTTTACCCCTCGTGGTTGTTTTGTGAATGATCTACAAAGTGAGATGGTGATTGCTGAGGGGGTACTGAGAGAAGGCTTATATGTGTTCCAAAATGATCAACTCTATGGTCTTGCTACAACTATCTCCAAAGTTAGAAGATGCGCTTCTATTTTGTGGCATGAATACCTAGGTCATCTTAATTTCTATATTGTTATTCGTCTTGGAAGAGAGTTAGCTCTACCTAATTTTATTGATGACCTACCCTTCTGGTTTATTGTGTTCATCTTGTCAATTAGGAAAACATTGTGAGTCTAAACTTGACTCAACTATTAGAAAGTCTAATGCTCCTCTTGATCTAATTCGCAGTAATGTTTAGGGTCGAGCCCCAGTTACTTCCTTATTTGGTTCTAGATTTTATGTTATTTTTGTGGATGATTACACTTGATATCCTTGAATATATTTCTTGAAACAAAAATCTGATGTTTTTAATTGCTTTATTAAATTTCATACCTGTGTTGAGCGTCAATTTGCTTGCAAACTCAAGGACTGATGGTGGAGGTGAATTGACCTCTCATGCTTTCAAAGAATATTGAGTCAGTTTGAAATTCATCATCAATATTCATGTCCATACACTCCAATACAAATCTTTCTATGATGTATGCAAGTGGTCTACCACAAGTCCTTTGGGCAGAAGTCTTTTCCACTGCGGTGTATCTGATTAATAGATTGTCATGCTCTACATTATCTTTCATATCTTCCTTTCAAAAGATTTTTGGTAGCACACCAGATTACTCATTTCTTTGTCTTTGACTGTGTATGTTTCTCACATATTCATTATTCTCAAAGAAATAAATTTTCTCCTAAAGCTTATAAGTGTGGGTTTGTTGGGTACGGCTTAAAACATTACGGCTATCGATGTTATGACAAGGTGTCACATCGCTTCTTTATTGCAAGACATGGAACTTTTGATGAAACTATGTTCTATTTTAAGGACCAGTGTTCCCAAATTAATACAAGTGATGTTATGTCAAATAATGTGTTTGTCCCTATTTCAATGCCTTCTCACTTGTAGGGAAAATATCAATCACAAGCTTTTAGTTCATCTGAGGTTACAAATGAACCATCTCAGCAGCATCACCCTCATCAGTCATCACCTCACTCTGACAGGTCTAATCTACAACCTCTTTCTTCAGTAGAATGCTCACCACCATTGTCTATCTCTCTTGCTTCAAACTTAGATTCATCACCTACAATGCAATATGGTTTACTTGGAAGGACCCATAGAAGTCTCACCTATACCCCTATGCCGATCCTCTCACTCAACACAACCTCCTAAACATTTGTCTGACAACCAGGTTTACTTTGCAACCATTCCCTCTCCTAACTCCACCTCTAAGCCCATAAGAACAAAACATCCTATTGAAATTTTACCTTGGGAGAGGGACTGTCTTAAGCTCATAAGGTATTTGTAATACAAATTTCTCAAATTCAAGAACCAACCACCTAAACTGCCTCAGACATTGAGTGGCAGGTCTCAATGAAAGAGGAGATAGATGTACTCAAAATGAACCATACTTGGGAACTAGTGCCATTGCCTCCGGGTAAAAATGTTGTGGGCTCAAAATGGGTATACAAAGTTAAGGTCAGATCAGATGGCTCAGTCGAAAGATTGACGTCTAAACTAGTGGCCAAGGGGTTTAGTCAAGAATATGATATTGATTATGATGACACTTTTAGTCCAATTGTGAAGGCACCCACTATTCGATGCATTCTGGCCCTATTATCTATGTTCAATTGGAAACTTCATCAACTTGATATGAAAAATACATTTCTTCATGGTGATCTGAAAGAAGAAGTGTACATGCGGCAACCTAAAGGATTTGAAGATATCTTACGGTTGCACCATGTTTGCAAACTGAAAAAGGCTATTTATGGACTCAAGCAAGTTCCCCGGGCATGGTTTGAGAAATTCTGCTGTCTACTTCATAGTCTTGGTTTTCAAAGGAGCCTCCTTCTAATTTATGTGGATGACATCATTGTTATAGGAAATGATATTTAGGGCATTCAATATATTAAGAAAGCATTGAAGCTCAACTTTGAGATGAATGATCTTGGAGAATTGAAATACTTTTTGGGTATTGAAATTCATCGGATAGAAAGATGCATTGTTCTCACCCAACATAAGTATATTCTTGATTTACTTTCTAAAACCAGGATGTTGCGGTACAAATCTATTTCCACATAGACTGAAGTAAATAGGAAGTTAAGGACTGAAGAAGGGGAGTTGCTTATGCAATGAATACAATATGTCAGTTCATGCAGACTCTTAAACAATCTCATTGGGAAGCCACAAAAATAATTTTGAGGTATTTAAAGGGTACTATACATGATGGCTTGTTCTATACTTCTTTTGGCTCACTTGATCTCAAAGGATATTCTGATGCTGATTGGGCGGGGTGCCTCAATGATTGTAGATCCATTACAGGATTTTATATCTTCTTGGGAAAGAGTCTAATTTCATGGAGTATCAAAAACAGGCATCAATATCAAAATCCAGTACATGGTCAGAATATCGAGTAATGAGTATTATATCAGCAGAAATCACTTGGCTACACATGTGTCTCAAGGAAATTGGAGTTTCTACAATTAAGCCAACCATTCTAGCTTATGATAATTAAAGTGCCATGTGATTAGCCACCAATCATGTCTTTCATGCTCGCACCAAACACATAGAAGTTGATTATCATTTCAATAGAGAGAAGGTAGTATCAGGTGATATTTTTATGACGGTTGTTCCTTCATCTCGTCAGATTGCAGACTTGTTTACTGAGGCAGTTACAAGATTAGGACACCATGAGACCACAGATAAGCTCTCAATGCACAAGATGCATGCTCGGATTGAAGGTGGTGTTAAAGAGAGACTGTCTTTTGAAATATTGTATAGGGCTTTAGTCATTCTTTTATTCTTTACCCTTAAGGGTAAATCTGTCCATGGTATATGTAAATATACTAGATATGTAAACAAAGTATGTGAAATGAATCCTGGTGTTCTCTTCAGTTTCTCTCTCGAGGGTTTCATAAGTTTAACATATTCGGCTAAATTTTTATGAAACTCTCGGGTGTTTATCATTTCAATAAAAATACTTTTCTTCTTCCTTCTTCATTTTTTTCTTTGCAATAGAAAATTTGCTCTTTTTGAGGTGTTTGGGATATAATTCATAATTTTCACCTGAACCCTTATTCTAATTTGAACTATTTGCATGTTGCTATAATTCTAGTTGTTGAAAGTGTTAAAGAATTTTATTTTTATTGCCAACTTTTGACTTTCTTGTTAGACTAATTTGTAGATTTGAAACTCTGCACAACAACTCAATGGAACAATTATAATATTTTGAGTTTTTGGTTGTCAAGTTCATAGAAGAATTTCTTATTTTTCAGAGTTTTTAAAAAGATTGTCCTTCTTTCTTGTGGGTGAAATTTATGGGATTCTTGGCCGAATAGTGATCACTAAAGTTTAGTTCTAGAAGACCTCCCCATGAGTCTCAATGAAATTTACAAAGTTTCATGAAGCATTTAAGCTCTATGAAAATTAACCGCTGAAATATATGAAATTGTGGTGTTTTTCTTCTTCTTTTGCCTAGAATTTAATTTTATCATCTGAGTCTTTGTTAATAGTATGCATTAGTGCTTTTTGTCAAGTGTTTGAATAAAATTTTTAATCTTGTGTCTTCTTATTTTGATTAATCTCTTCCTTTTTCTTTTTTTTTGTCAATGTGTAGAACTCTTGGATTTTCGGATACCTGGTTGTTCTTTTTGTGTCTATCATCTGCTCTTGTTTGTTTCTTTCACCTATCCTTATTGTTTCTGTCATTCCCTTTAAGATTGTGGGGTTCTCATGGTGATGTAGAATGGCTTGCATGGCCATCAGCACTTTTTATGTGACCGATGAGGAGCTCCAAAACTCTCCCTCTCGAAAGGATGGAATCAATGAACAGACTGAGACCGCCCTTCGCCACTATGGCTGCGATCTCATCCAGGGGAGCGGCATTCTTCTAAGACTGTATCCTCTCTCTCTCTCTCTCTCTCTCTCTCTCTCTCTACTTTTACCGTTTCTTCGTTACTACCTACTTCGTTACTACGTACCTACCGTAAACGTAACGTACGTCTACGTACGCCGTACGGTCGTTA